TTTTTTTTAGCTTCTTTATTATTAAATTATTCTCATTTCTATCTGCAATAGTAACTGCAGTAGCAGACTTTTCTATTGCAGATCTTGCTATAATCATTTTTTTAGATTCTTCTAAATTTTTATTTTTTTCAATTGATATAGTCCTGATAATGATTTAAATATTTTTTTATAATTTCTTTAATAAGCCATTATCCTTATTTAATATTAATATTTACATTTTGTTTCTTAAACTACATGTAAATAAATTAGTATTTTATTAATTCAAAATAAAAACATATATAAAAATAGCAAGTTTACTTTTTTGATAATTTTAGATAGTTTTAAAATATTTTGATCTTTATAAGAAATTGTAAAATCTATTTATAAATATATCATATAGAAACAAATTTTAAACTAAAAATAAAAAATATTAAATAAATAAAAATAAAAATTTTAATATAACTTTATTTATATTTATCAAAATATTATTATTTTCTACTTTTATAGAATCTAATAAATTCAAAATATCTATACTTTAAATATATTTTTTTAGTTTAAAGATATTTTGAATTTAAGTTAGAGTTAAAATTGAAGTTTGAATTGAAGTTGAAATTAAAGTTAAAGTTGAATCTGAAATTGGAGTTAAAACTGGATCAGTTAGAATTGAAACTGAAAAATTAGAATTATTTTTTAATATTTCTTAATATAATTTAATTTATTTTTATAAAATTTTGATATTTCTGATAATGATAATATTTTTAATAAATTTTATTTATATATAAAAAAAGGAAAAAGAAAATAATAAAAAAAAAGCTGATTATTTATATTTTTTATATAGGTCTTTAATTTAAGTTTACATTGTTATGCAGATTTTTCTATTTACATTAATATTATTATTTATAAAAAATTATGTTAATAAAAAATCATGTATTATATTTTATAAATAAAAATTATGTAATATTGATTATATAAAATAGTAATTTTTTAATATAAAGTATTTATTAATAAAGAGAAATTAAATAATAGTAAAAAAAGTAGAAAAGTTATTTTAATAATAAAAATTTATAATTTTATTAATAATTATATATAATTTTATTATTAATAAATAAATTTTATTATAAAAATATTTATTTAAATAAAATACTATAGAATATCTATTTCTAAAATAAGTGAATTCATATGTAATAAAAGAGCAATCTTAATAATATAATATATCCTAAATCTATTTACATTACAATTCTAATGTTTAGTAACTTCATATCTTTATCTTTAAAAGTTCCAAAAACTACTATTATGTAATAAGCATATAAGCAATCATTAAAATCTTTATATAAATTAATAGCTTCTTATCTTACTCAATTTAAATTATCTGATTCTTTAATACTAAATTTATTTCAAAACTTTTAAAAAATGATAATTTACTAATAATAGTTAGAATCTTAATATTAAAATCTAAAAATAATTTAGAAAACTATTTATAATTAATTTTGAAATATGATATTCTATTTTATAATTAATGGAAATAATATTATATTATAATAATTAAAAAAATTAAATATTATTTCAGACTTTACTACTTTTTGAAAATGAGTTTCCTTAATATTAATTTTTTCATTTAATTTCTTATTTTCTTTAAAATTATTAAATATATTTTTAGTTTTTCTTAATACAGTAACGGTCATAAATATCTGACTACCTCTAACTCTGGCTACAAATAAGTAAATTCAAATTTTTTTTTATTTAAAAAATACATAACCAACTAGCTAAAATTATTATGTAGTCATTATCTGACTCTATAAGTGCAGCTGTACGCTTTTTCATGCTAGCTACCAAATTCGTGATAAGTACAGATAATAATTGATTCCATTCTTTTATAAGTTTTTTCTTTAACCCTCTAATTGATCAAAATTTTTTTTTATATATTAATTTTTATTAACCTTCAAACGTTTTTTATAGAGTTTTAGTCTGGAAACATTGATGGCCAAGAAAGTACCTCAATGCCATTTTCTTCCTTCCATTTTTTCGCGATTTTTGATTGATGCTTTGAATCATTATCTTCTTGCAAGATCCAATCTATGTTACCTTTACCAAAAAGTTTAGAGGTGAAAGTCAGAAGACCTTGCTCATAAATAGTACACATAAATTCAGCATTAAGATTTCTCTGAAAAAATAACTTACCAAATCTAAAAGCAGAAAAACATCTCTAAACATGGATTTTTGTGGATGCTTAACAGAACGAAACACTTTTTTTCTACTAGAAAACTATCAAACCTTTTTTTAATGTATATAATTAAAATATATTCTCATCTGTAAAAATAACTCGATTTCAATCAAAATTCTTATATTTTTTTGCCTATTGCAACCTTTTCTTTTGATAGTCTTCTTTAAGCAAAGGTTTAGAAATTTTATTACTAAACTTTCCTCCAGATTTACGAAGATGTCACCTTACTATTTTTATACTAAACCCAACTTCTCTTTCTTTCATTTTTCTTGTATTGAATGGCTGTTTTATTATATTCTTTCTTTATCATCTTTACAATCTTATCATCATTTTGCGAATATTACACAAGGCCACCCTGGTCTTTCTAAAGTACTTAGATCCCGATTTTCATGATATCTTTTAATCTAATAAATAGTTGTAGACTTACTACAACGTACCTGTTTAGCAATAAATCTAAAACTAAACTTTAGACCAGCTGGATGCTTACGTAAAAAGACAATTTTATATCATTTCTCTAAAGAAAGTTCTATTTTTCAAGCGAAAGTTTGATGATCATCTAAATTTTTTTTTTGTATCATTGACATTTATAAATTTACAGGTGATCATGTATTGTATTACATTATATTTTTGAAAAATTTAAGGGGTAGTTATATAATAATTTTGGATGATCTCAGATGGTCAGATACTTATGACTGCTACTGTAATTTTAAAATCATAATTATTTTCTCATTTATATTCTTGTATATAATTGGCTGCTTGACAAAATTTTTCAAATTCTGTTAATATAGAATAATTATAATATCTTTGTATAAATATACTTCCACTATAGATTACATATGTATTATGAAAATTAAGTTTTGCTAAAATTATAATTGCATTTGTAAAATTAATAGAAATATATTTTAAACTATTATTAATATTATTAAATAAATCAATTTATTTTATTTTTAATGATTAATAAAATAATTATTAATAACAAAAACTAAGACATATACTTCATTATTTATTAATTGATAAATAAAATAATTTCTATTATTTTGATTTGTTATTTTATAACAATTATTATTTTTAATGTTTTTTAATTTATTTATATTCTCGTTAATATTTATAGATATTAAATATCCTATATCTAATTCTTTAATTTTATTTTCATATCTTTTTCTGTTTCTTTCTTTTATTTTATCATTGAAAGTAATATAAAAATTAGAAGTATTTTCAATTCTAATTCTATCAAATTTTCCATCTGAAGTTTCGTTTTCAACTTTTAATTTTTATTTTTTAATGGATTAAATAAAAAAAAAGATATGATTTGGTACTATTTATGCTTTTGTAAGACCAAGATGTGATTTAGTTTCTTTAATTCTAATTAATTCAACCATTTATATAGTTTAATTTATAAATTTGATTTTAGAAAAAAATTTGATTTTAAGAAAAAATTGGATTTGATTTGATTTTAAAAAAATTTAAATTTGATTTGATTTTAGAAAAAATTCTTTGCTTTATATAAAAAAATTATTTATATAAAAAGAATAAAAAAAGAATAAAAAAAGAACAATATAAAAGAACAATATAAAAGAATAATATAAAGAATATAAAGAATAATATAAACAAAGAATATATAATATAAACAAAAAAAATAAGAATATAAAGAATAATTTAAAAATAATATAAATAAAAATATAAATGAAAATAATATAAAGAATATAAAGAACAATTTAAATAATATAAATAAAAATAATATAAAGAATATAAAGAATAAAAAAAAAATAATATAAAAGAATAATATAAAGAATATAAAGAATAATTTAAAAATAATATAAACAAAGAATATATAATATAAACAAAAAAATAAGAATATAAAGAACAATTTAAAAATAATATAAATAAAAATATAAATGAAAATAATATAAAGAATATAAAGAATAATTTAAAAATAATATAAATAAAAAATATAAATGAAATAATATAAAGAATATAAAGAACAATATAAATAAAGAATATAAAGAAAATATTAAAAATAAATATAGTACTTATTTGCTACTATTTTTAAAATAAAATAGTCCCAGGCTATACGACAAGAATATCAGTACCAATTCACAGCTTAAAAAATAAAAAAAAATAAAAAAATACAAAATACAGTTTACTTTCATTGTGAATTGTAAAAAAGAACAAAATCAATATAACTACAGTTTATTTTCACTACAATTATATTAATTATAAATAAAACTTGCAAGGGAGGCAAATAATTCATTTTTGATTAAAGAGATAGCATTTTTTGATTATAGAAGTTAGTTGTATAAATTGTTATGACTTTTTGATTATTCGTCTAACTTTTAAAAATGTTAAATGTGCTCATAGATCATTAATATAATACAAAAGTCTAATTAATATATAATTTATATCACATCATGTAAAACACATTCTAAAACTTTTCTTTTTCTTACTTTTTTTACAAAAAAAATGGAAACTTATAAAACTTATGAAAAACAAATCATATATAATAATGATAATTCTATTAATTTACCCTTTGGCTGAGCTGCAGAATGATACTTAGCTAATATACCATTATTACAAAATTATCATTTAAAAAATTAAAGTAGACAGATTACTCTAAAACTTGTTAAAAATGGTATTTTAACTATAGAATGTACACAAAGAGCAATAGATTATTTAGAATGGACCACCACAACTGAAACCAAAAAATCTACAAATAAAATAGATGATATATTAGTTCTAACTATTAAAGGAGAAGACTTAGTTTCACAAATCAATTTAGGATTAGTAGTGCTGGTATTGGATAATGTATTATTCTGATGATAAGAATATTTGTCAACATTTATGTGGTGGAATTGAAAAATATTTAGAAACTTGTAATCATTATTTGTTATATAATAATCTAAAAAATGTAAATGATATGCATTTATACAGTGTTAGAGTTATTTTTGAATGTCGATTATCATAGTTAAATTCAGAAACTCCACTACATATTACTATTCAAGGAACTCATCATCCATCTCAACATATGTTTAATAATATTATTCCTAAAATTTCTCAAATTAATCTAACTTATTCTATTAGAAATTCAATTACTTTAAGTAGAAGGGTAGATCACAGAATAGCTAAAGAAATAAAAGCCAAATTATTAACTCTATTTAATGGTGTATCAGAAAAAATAATTAGTAAAACATTAGCAAATCAGTGTGAAATTTGTGATAATGATAAATTTCAAAGACTTATTATAAGAGATGATAGAAAATTTAAAGATAATACTGGGCTATAGACACAACTTAATAATTTGATTAATGAATTATTAAAATTGCAAGGAAATATATTATATTATCAGATACCAGATTTAGATCAGCCAATTGAATCATCTGATTGATATTATCAACTAACTTTTTCTAATGAATTTTGGCTTAAAAATGAACGTGATTATGGAAATATTTGCATTAATATTAATGAAAAATATGATTTAAATGCAGATCATGCTTCAATTGTTCTTGAAAATGGAGCTAGTCATGGTTTACCTCTGACATTTGATAATTATATTATAAAATAATAAAATAAAATTATTTTAGTAATTTAATTTATTTATTTTTTTAATAGCTTTAAGTAACAAAGAAAATAATCAAACTATAAAACTGACAATTATCGCTGTTAAAAGAAATATTTCTTGTAATGATATATTATATCAACATAGATAGTATTATGAAAACTTAATTTCAGGAAATAGATTTCAATGAGTTTATGAATGTCAAAATAATAATTAGAAATTATATGCAATGATTGACAAACATAGACCATCAAAATTGGCAATTCAAAATATATTATGTAGACCTATTTTATGTTGATTTTACATAATGAAAACTTATGGGGAAAATCTTAATAATTGGCATATACCTGTTCAATTCCGGTAAGACATTTATAATTCTAATTATTACATAATAATTACTAGTAATCTTATCTTATTTTTTTATTTTTACTTAGATATCTAATTGTATTAGCTTTTAAATTTGTAAGGTATTGTCAAACTGAAACAGTTGCTATTAAAATGGTTGAATTATTTAATGAATTTATAAATTTATTACCTATTGAAAAAATAAAACAAAAAAAAATTATTGATGATATATCAAATAATTGGATGTATTCTGAATAGAGACTAAATTTTATTGATGCAGGACACATCCCAATCTCTAATAATTTAATAAATCATTTACCTTGAATCACAAATAATTTTACTAAATAAATAAATAAAATAATAGAAACAGTATATAGTGGTAAACAAACACCATTATTATTTATTGAACGCATGTATAGTGTAAAATTTCAAAGTAATACTATTACTGATAATAGTAGATTAAATATATTTGAATCTGGTTTAGTTACATTATTTAATACACAAGCTATTGAACAAGAGGTAATTATTATTATTTAAATTATTAATAACTTATTCAGTAAACAAATTTATTTAATTTATTATATATTATTTAGAATACTGAATCACGTTTATACTTAGATAAATTGCAAAGATTAAACCAAGAAAAATTGGATTTTCTTCTTGGTTTAATACAAGAAACATCTGTTTCAAATATTTTTTTTATTAAAAAATTATGTAACGAACTATTTATATCCTTTTATGATTACAAACCCATGAATGTGAATGCTCAAATTATAAGTAAACTCAAAAATATGGCTGATCTTCTTTTAAAACCCTTATTATTAGAAACTCAAAAATATGCTAATCTTCTTTTAAAACCCTTATTATTAGAAAATATAGAATTTAATTCTAAATTCTATTTATGCAATATTAGTACTAGAGAATGTGTATGTTGGGAGTAAATTTGGAATGGTTCTTTATAAGATAAGTGCAGACATTATTATGCAGCCACTTTATTCAAAGATGCAATAAAAAAAGAATTTATAAATATTATGGATAAAACAAAGTACGAATTAGTCTAATATTTTCAAAATAAAGAACGTGTTGTTCCTTCATCTGCCAAAAATAACATCATTTATCAAGATACAATAGAAAATTCTTTTCAAGAAATAGTTCGATTATATGGAATTCATGGTAATGTATTATTTTAATTTAATAATGATTAAGAATATTAAATTAAATTAACCTTTATTTTAATAGGAAATAAAATTTTTTATACAACAAATCGTATAATTCAAAATATTAAAGATCCATTTAGACCACTTGAATTAAATGATAAATCAAGGTCAAAAATAGGAGCACCACCAAAATTATCTTCTAAACCAAGAAAACCTAATAGATTTAATCCATACAAAAAATTATCAAATAATACCTTTTCGATACAGCAGAGGAAAATTAAACGTACTTATAATATTAAACAAAATTATAATTTATTCAGTAAATTTTATTAATTTTATTAATATTTATTAAAATATTTTTAATTCATGATTAATAATAATAATAATAATTTATTTTAGATGTAAATAATTAACAAAATAACGTGGCTATTACAGATAATTGTGTTTTCAAAATTTTTCTTAACCACTAATAATTTACGATAATGTTGAATCTCAGTATAATAATGTGGCGGTACATGAAAATTCGTATTCATATTGTGATGAGGAATTACCTAATATTTTACCAGAAAAACTACAAATCAAATTATTATTCTTGCAAAACAACCCTATCACAGAATATGATCGTTATTCATTTTGTGTTATGCATCGTGCTGAGTTACATATCATTCCAAATGGTTTATTAAAGGGATATCCAGAATTTATTGATTTTAATCAATTAGTTTTACGAATTCAAATATTTAAAGATGAACTTTTAGAAATTATCAATGGAAACTTAGCAAGTTATTACCGAAAAATGGCCTTTTCAATTTATCAAGAAATTGGATATAATAAGGCTAAATCACCAACGATACTTTTTAATAGATGCAAGATATTTCAGGTATTAATTTCAAAATTAATTTTTTTTTATATTAATTTGTTTTAAAAAACTTTATTAAATCATATTAATTTATAGGCTGGATATTATGATCTAAAGGATTATATTTTATTGCTAATGCTTTGATAGATTTATTCATTATTTCGGATATTCTTATACCACTTAAAGAATTTCTGTTAAAGCCGATGGATTATATATATGAAGTTTTGATACCAGAAGTGACAAGCAGATTAATTCAAGAAGATTACAATAATAATATAACTCTAGAAAATGCAAGAGAAATCATGGTTGAAAGTATAGAATTTGGAGAATATTTGCATTGTGGTGATGATATGTAATGTTTTACTTTGAAATTATAAAATTCGTTAGATTAAAATACCAGTAATAGTCTATAGATAATACATATTTTGTTCAATAAATTTTATGCGTGAGTTGACTTTTTTCGTATGATTACAATTTTTTCCAAATAATCAAAAAAGTCAATTTTTTTCCGAATAATCAAAAAAGTCACACCAATTTGTACAACCAACTTCTATAATCAAAAAACGCCATCTCCTTAATCAAAAACGAATCATTTGCGCAAGGGAGGGAATAATCGGCCCCTGGACCATATATGACTATCCCTACTACAATTAAACAATAAATGCTTAGCCTTTGGCCTTCTGTCAGTTACTATTCACGAAATAATAAAAAAATAAAAATGGGGTTTTTTTGAATAAAATAATAAAATTAAGAATTAGAATGTAAAGGAGTAAAAATTAAGTAAAATTTAAAAATAAAAAAAAAAATCTCACAACCTTTTACATATGGGAGGGTTTCTAGGAAAATCAGGTTCCGAGAAATTTTTCAATTAAATTAAGAGCTTAATACATTTTAATCTAATAACATCAAAAAACTAAAATGCAATAAAAATCTCAATTTGTTAAAAAATTCCCGGAACCTGATTTTCCTAGCAATCAACCCATATGTGAAAACATATATATCTACGTTTAAATTTGTCCATGTATTTCATAAAAAATTAAGAGAACTTGAAGTAATTTCAAAATTCCGGAGCAAAAATTAGCCAAAGGTAAAAAATAAAACAATACTTTCGACAATTATATTTTCCTTTTTACAATATTTCACTCCGCTTCACATCTGAGAAGCTCGCATATTCCATTCATTATCGATATAAATAGTTCCTTCTAGATAAGCTTGATTTGTAAGATGGAACGCTCAATACATTGATATTCTTTGCAGTTTCGTAATACTGCACCGAAATTGGTCATGTGGAGTTGATAAACGTTTTCGTCAAGGCATGTGACACATATGTGAATTTTATGAATAGTAAAATGATCATAAATTGTCGATTGATCTATCTCGTTATAATCAATCTTTGATTCATTTTTATTCTACTAATGTTATTACCCTTTCTCATTTAGTTTATTTTATATTTTTAAGTTTTTAATTTAATCATGCCATCATTTTCACAACTCTTTAAAAATTCAAAATTAGTAAAATTTGATCCTGCATTATCACAAGTTTACAAAACTTATGGAGAATATCAACGACGTGGGGATTATGGCGTAAAACGTAATTTACCAAATCAATTACGTACGAATGTTGTTACGATAGGGAAAATAGATACTATGGAACATCAAACTCCTTTTAAAACTGCTGAAACTCTAATAAGATTTACAAGGAAATGGAAAGAAAATTTTCTTATCTCAAAAAGAGTTGAGCCTTTAAAACCGAATGCAGTTAATAAAAAAAAATTAAAAAATATAGCAAAAATGTCAAAGAAAGAATTTGAAAAATTATTAAAACGAGTTGAAGAAAAGAAAGATGAATGGGATAAGAAACTTTTGACAAATTCGAATGTTGATCCTGAAAATTGGTTAGAATTTTTGGGTTTAACTTTTGATACACGAAATTCTATTTCGACCGTTAAAGGATTAACTTATTCTCATAATAATCCTGGCGTTAATTTTCAAATACAAGGACGGATTCTTAATAGAGATGCTAATGGAGTTTTTGCCGTTGGTATTAGTGGCTTGGTTGGAAGTTTACATTTTGGTAAAGCTCAAAGGTTGGCCCATGTTAATCGTAGAAAACTTGATAATTTTTATATCGAAAAGGCTGAATTTGATGAACAAGGACGTCCAAATGTTAGAATCTCACATACTCCTCTTCTTTCACCAAAAGAAGGGTTAAGTATTCTTGATCATTTACCAGGAAGAGCTTCTTTATTCTTTGATTCGGCTACAAATCGTGTTAAAGATGATGAAAAAACTCAAGAGGAAATTCTTTCAAAACTTCGATCTTTACTTGAAACTAGTAGTCCCAAAAGTTCTAGTGAAGTTATCTCTCCTCCTAAATCTGAATTTCAAGTTACCTTTGAAGAAATGTTTTCTTCTAAAAAAGATGATAGAAAAATTGAGGATAATTTTTCCACGATTTTGAAAGAAGTTAAGAATGATGAATCATCAAAGGCTATGAAAGCTAAAGGAAAACTCTCATCATCAGATTTTCAAACTGCTGATGAATTGTTTAAAGATTTATTAGATGATGAATCCGATGAAGGCCATAATTAAGTTATTATTTATTCTTTCACGTTTCTGATTGAAGTTATCATGCATTGAATTAAAAAAGGGATAACAATTTTTTTTTTTAAAAAAAAAAAAATAAATAAATATCACCGCAAAATAATAGATAATGTATTTAAATGCAAGCATTTATCAAAAAATGAGTAGTAGTAGTAGAGTGTGGGAAGTTTCTAATAAATTATTTTTTCTTTTTTTTTTTTTAATAAAAATTAAGTATTTTAATCATATCTTGAAAAGTTTATTTTTAAATATCACTTTTAGAAATTGGTGGGACCCTTACGTCCTTCAATATCTCTTTGCCTTCTTACGAGATAATTTAGTTTTTCCATGACCTACATAATTAACAGAACACATTCATTAACCATAAATTGTATACATTACTATAAATCCAATATTTATTCATACCTCTTCCAATTTCCGTTTTCTCTCTTGCAATTCCAAATGTTTCCTAATATGAGGATTTTCTTTTGCAAAAGATAATATTTGTTTTCTATCCAAATCATAGATAAGTCGATTATCCACTTCTCTAGGGAATTGAAAGAAGAATTCATTTAATAATTCGACTTGAATAAACATTACGGCGGTATAGGTGAGTTTCTCAGCGACCATATTTAAAAATGCTTCCGGACAATATTGTTTATTATCAGGCGATTTGCATTGTCGTGATTTTAGAGCCGCTAAACGATACTTTAGTATCATCGAACGATCACGAAGAAATATAGCTTCACGAGCTTTTTCAAGTACTTTAGGATTAAAATGAAGACGATTATGCTCCACATCACCTTCCATAATATCATTAATGGATGATATAAGTGCAGAAGGCGGTATAGCGTGTGTGTTGGATTCGTTATTAGAATCGCCTGTATCTTTACGTTTAGCTTCCTCTTTTTCAGCGTCTAAGACGTATTTTATAGCAGCCCTAAGTTTCTTTTTTCCAATGGTATTTCTAATATGATGTAAAGCCTTATCACAACTTTCCAATTCTTTTTCCAAAAGTGTTATTGATCGCTTAACCCCATCAGCCCATTCTTGTTCGCTACACTCAACTTCATATTTGTATGGCTTAACACAATTTTCAACTTGATCAGCAGTTGTATGAAATTTGTGCCGCAAAATTTCATTACTGAAATTTAATACTTTGCTACTAGTGTCAGGATGATTATTTAGTGGCTCCATTGAAGCTAATTTCTCCATATTAGCCATTAATACATCCACGACTAATTGAGTACTTGTTCGACCTATTCCACTTTTAGTAAGTGCGGCAGAACTCATGTCAAGTTTATAATGCCAATAAAGATCATCCGCCGATACTTTAGGTAAATCGACCACTTTGCTATCTGTCCAATATAATTCTGCGCAAAGATCTAATACCCTTTGTTCCAACATGGTTCTAACCTCATGTCTCACTTGTGGTTTTCCGAAAGAATGAGCAAAATCCTTAAAATTATGTTTGATAGAATCAATCGTCTCAGCAACATATGATTCGGCTGTGATCCGTCTAAGTTGATAAAATCATGAAATAAAGAGTTAGTATCTTAATTAATATGAAATACGCTATTTATAATTCACTAACCTATCATTATATTGTACTTTAAATTGATAACGAGCTTCTTCCAATTCTAATTGAACGGCTCCAACAATAGAAAATAACGATTTAGCCATATTTTCTTCCAATACTTCCATAAGCTTCCTACGTAAAGTACCAGTACCAACTTGAATACCACGCTGACTATACACATAATTACTACGGAAGAATTGGTCTTCGTGTTGTATTAAAGCTGAAGTAATGTTTTTTTGATTGTTCCTATTTGCTGGAGGTTTACAAACTACACCAATATAACCTAGATGTAAAGGATAATCAGTATTGCGTAATATAGCTGCACCAGTCTCAGGCTCTACCAAATCCATTTTAGTTATTACACCGATCGTCCTTAGACCCAATGGATCAATTTTACGACTAGATTTTAATGCTTCTGAATTCGCTAAATCCACATCAGCGGCACAGACCGCTAATATAATATTTGGCTCTCTGATATATTGTTCACACAATTCGACAATTTTATCTTTTAACGTCTCGGGTTGATTCCTGTTAGTTACTTGAATATAGCCTGGCAAATCAATAAGCGTAAGATCGGGTACATTGGGAGAATAAATTCGCAGTTCAATTGGTTTATTGGAAACGCATTCGGACTCTGGTACAGCAAGGTTTAAATCACGTAACGTTTGTTGTACATGAGAGAAATCGTGCATTTTCCCTAAGCCAAGCTGAGGAAATTCACCATACTCCTCTTTAGATTTTGGTGTGTGAATTAATGTTAATTCAATTGGCCTTCGTGTCACCATATTCGATCCCCTAATGTATAGTAAAAAAATATTGGAATTATATCATTAAACTAACTTTTATAATATAAATCTATATCCTTACTTTGGTAAGAATTCATGTCCGACGATTGCTTCTAATACGGAACTTTTGCCAGAACTCTGACTGCCTATAACTACGATACTTGGTAATCTAAGTGTCTCATTATGGTCAATGTTCATCAGAATATTGCGCACCTCTATCAACTTTTTGGTTAGGAGCATAAATTGATTATCCTGTACCGGAATTCTTTTTTTAGATGCATTCCCAGCATCATCATCATCATCATCCTTTTCGTTCGCATTGAATAAAGTTGCCGCTCCTACTGCAGCAGCAGCAGCTGCTGCTGCTCCACCTCCACCTCTTGGAGGTTCTGAAGAATTGCTTTCATCTTCCTTTTTAATGAATCTAGGCCTATCTGATTCTATCTGAAACTGATTAGAAGTTGCAGATGGTCCTGATTTAGAAAAAATGTTTGTTAAGAATCCTGGGACCTGTATTTCTATACTTGGTAGATCAAAGTCAATTCCCTGTCTAACGGCTCCTACTGCCGATTTAATCCCATCTGTAATGGAGGAAAGGAAGTCTGAACTTTTACTTGCCATATCTAAATCATTTTAGCGGAATGATTTATAAAAATTAATTCGTACCTATAGTATATGTTTCATTAATCTTTAAATGACTTACCATTAAGTTTATAATTGGCGTATGTCAACCCTCCCACTCCCACGGTTACGCCTGCGGTAGGAATTTTCATTGCATGAAAAACGAATCTTGGAATTGAATTTAATGAAAACGTCCTGACCTGAGAAACTAATAACAGTGAGGGTGGACTATGAACATTACGAAGGATGGGACGATGGTCATAACCTAGAAGTGAAATAAAATTTGACGAGGGCTTTGTAGCGTGATGCAATTGTCGCCTTTGCAATTTGGTTGGAATGCTACTAAATCTAATTGATGATCGGTTAGATCTACTGGTAAAAGTGGCTGATCGAACCCTTAAACTACGTGGACTAATAGCCACCTGTCGTAGAATCTGAGAGACCATGGAATTATTTGTTAAAGGCAGCAGAAACTTCCGTGGTTAAAGGACGACCGCGAAATAAAATTTGATAGGTAATTATGCATTATAACAATTTTCGCACGTGATTAAGCACTGATCTCGTTTTAATAATAAATATTTTTTTTTTTTGCGAATTGCTCCCATAATCTCGGTTTAAAATGTTTAAAAGTAAGTCAACACCTACGCCTGCAACGCTATCATTTACAGATATTTTATCAGACTTAACAAGATTGCAAACATATCATCAAACACATCCTGGAGAAAAAATTGATGTATTAGAAATAATTAAAACTGATCCAATAGTTGATTCTATTGGACCGACACAAAGTAACTTTTTGGATTTCTTTTTGCGTTTATTAAGAATTTCGGCATCTTAAGTATTAAGGAAGTGATTTTATAATTTTTTTATTTAGTAGATCCAAAGACAAAAACGTTATTACCAACATTTCTTGATAATTTAAATAATACTAGTGATGCACCATTAGAAGCCATTTCAAGTACTTATGATATCATTACTAATTTTATTAGGGTGAATGAACAATTGATTAAAACTCGAAAAAGTTTAGATGGATTGGGAAGTGAAATAGAAGTATTAAGAAAAGAATTAAGTGGAACTATTGATACTTTAAATAATAGTAATTTTGTTAATGAGGAAGAGAAGGAAGTGGAAAATGTCGGTATAGATGAAAAGTTATGAGAAGAAATTCGAGCAAATTAGATCTAGATTAAGGAAATAAACTATTACTGTTAGGCAAAAATGGTTCATTCTTGTTAAAATTAGAAATTCAATGTGAGACGGTTACTGATTAGGCATTCGTGCTACATGCAGGACTTTGAAAACTAAAGATATTTTCATTACTTTTGCGCTGTATCAATTTATTTTCATGCAATCTTTGTTATGCTTCATGGTGAAAACTCTCCTTGTGTAAAATAGAAGGAATAGTGCTATAATATAGCAAGTTTCATGTAAAATAATTTTATGTAATTAATTTGGTCTTTTGGATTACTAACATTGATGTAGAGAGACGGTCCCCAACAAATTCGACAACCTTGTTTGTTCAATTCAATTCTTTTTTTTTTGGTTTCTTGCGCTACTGTTTCCCTTATTACTTTATTGAACTTGTGACATCCTAATTTTTTAAAAAATGCGTAGGAAAAATTTTTTTCCTAATATTTTAAGAAAATAGGCGCTTTGCAGTTGAAAGGGAGGAATATCCTCCCTTTTTACCAAAGCACCATATTTGTGATAATAAGATGAGCCATCCCAAAAATCTCAATATTGATAAACATCATTTTCCTCAGCAAAGAAAATCAAAAATTCGTGTAATATATATCGTGTTTCAATGTTTTAATTATTACTTATATATCTATATGAAAAAATAAAACGATATTGCCTAATTATTATGATGATTATTTTTTATGATTAAAGCAAAGTACTAACATAAATTTGAATTGAAGAATTGTAGTGTTTAGGATTCAGAAGTTAACCAAATATTTTTAAGTGCTTTCATTGTTGTGAATCGGCTCTCCATCTCTAAAAGCTTATTCATAAAAGATGTGTCAGTACGGCTCAAGTCCACACCACTAGTTCTAATGAGCTCGCCGACAAGATAAAGATCGCATTTAAAATCATAAGGGCCCTGATTCGGACCAACACCATTTGGCTACCATTCCAGTCTGTATGTAACAGGTCCTTCCTTACCAGCATGCTCTAAATCGATCAAAATCCAATCCATACTATTGGTTGATGACTGTATAACATTATCCCAGCGAATGTCTCTATGCACATATTTCGATCGATGCAACACAACTAAAGCCTCGAGTACACACTTTATCGCTCGTTTCAGTTCCTGTAATGATTGAGGGCAACGATTAATTCCCAAAGGACTCAGTTCGACAGTATATGTCGAATTTTTAATATGCGGAGGAACAACTGCTTGGATAATATGTGATTCATTCGCAGACAGCATAAATATTTTTCAAATCCTACGACAATAATTAATTAGCTCATTATTTGCGGTCAAGTAATATAAAAATAAAATCTCAATAAACTTACATTGAATGTCGAAAAGTTGTATTCCGTTTCAAAATTCCTGATTTTCTTTGTAACACGACCCTCAAGAAACGTGATCTATTTCATGAAAAGATTTTATCTTATCTTGCATCTTCATAAATACACTGCCATCAAAACGAACCTCACATGTTCCTCGCTTGATGACACTATAAATAGGGTACGGCATATTTGTGGGTAGTTGAGGGATAAAATGCAATAAACACCGAGTGATATTGATGGACGTTACTACCGTTAAGATTCGATCAACTACAAGCGACAAGTCAAAATCTTGACTAACGACTTTGATGTTTAAGGATCTGTCAATTGCATAAAATCTGACACGAAGAGACGTATTATTATCGCGTAATTACAAAAAACACATATTAAGAGCGAACCTTATAAAATTTCCGGCAGCGACATAAGCAAAGATGTATTGAAGATTTCCAAAGTAAAGAAGATTCCATAATTTAGCCTTATTTAACAACTCATGTTCTGCTTTTGCAATGTCTTCTAAGGCCTCCTTCTCTTCTCCTTTAAATACCAATGCGGATTTCAGCCAACCAAAAAGGTCTGGCCTCTTTAAACGTATTGTAGCCGTAGATAAATCTTGTTTGTCACGATCACAAATAATTTTGATGTGAAAAAGAGAAGAAACAACTTCGAGAGGTATTTTAACCAACAAATCCCATGTGATATGCCTGTTAGCAACTGAACCTGATGGTGATGGTGAAGTGATCGCCCCATCAAAAAGGCGACTTAATTCTGGTATACTGACTCGTGGGCTCCGAATAATATATTTTTTGAGTTTGGCCAAGTCACTATCTAATACCTGTTCTCTAACCTCAATGGGTTGGGTTGGCGGTGTCTGAAGGAGATCATTCAATTCCTCAACATTAGGTAATTTGATAAATTTGGGAAAGAAAGCTGCAACATCGAAGAAAGTTAACAGAAAGTTGCGTTTGATAAGAAATATTAAGTAGAAAATATTTTGCGCACCTTCGATGTCTTCGTTTTTATTAGTTAGAAACTCTTGACCTGTGAAAGTAAAGTTGAAGAATAAATGTAAAGCATAAATTATTATACAACGAAAGTAATAGTAACGATAGGAAAAAGAAGCAAAAAAATGCATATTTAAAATAGATAGAAGATAAATGGATAGTAAGAAATATATTCCGACAAAGCAAAAAAGAAATAATAAAAAAAACATAGGTAAGCAAACATTGCAACACCGACATATCAAATAAATAAACGAAATTGAATGAATGGAAAATAATATAGTCAACCCTCTCTAAATGCACACACTATATATTTTCTCTCTAAATGCACTCTCTCGTTCAGTCCCAAGCATATAGAATTCATATAGAAATTTTCTCTTTAAATGCACACCCTCTTTAAATGCACATTTTTTAAAATTTTCACTATGGTCCCGAGGGTGCATTTAGAGAGGGTTGACTGTATGTACGCAATTCGTTCATTACTTTTCCATTTACCAAACCGGTAGCCGAATATACAAAGACCGGTCTTTGAACCGGTCCTAGGACTGACTTATGGACCAGTCTAGTCCTAAAAAAGATAAAAGACCGGTCTTTTTTGACCAGACGACTGGACTGGACCGATCCAACCCTATTATTTTCTTACACCTTAGCTGTTTAGCAATTGTGCGACTTGAATATCTACAATTATAACTGTAGATAATTATACCACGAGTTTTTAAAGTAAGTGATTTTATTTTTATAGAAACTTTCAGAATAAAAGTAATACAAAAATTAATTTATAATAATTATAAGTTAAAAATTATTATTTGTTTATATTATAATAACATGTAATAATTAGTATAATCTTAGTAAAACAAATTGACTAGATCATTTAAACCACTATTTGTGACCAAAATTTATAATTTATAAATATATCACGTGAAAAATTTTATTGGTCAATATTTAAATCACATGATTAAACTTTACAAAGTAATGCCAGATAAATTTTATTAAAATTTCACATTATTACATTTTCAGAAATGCGCCGATGTGATCTATATTGTTTTACAGCATATAAAGCTGCAATACCTGTTAAAATTTTTCTGTATGCATCCATAAATCTCCAAGAATGATGAGCATATCGTCTAATTTGCTCTAAAAAAATAGAATTTAATGCTTCAGGAACAGTTTTTCTAATGCTTTAAATGAGTAATCACAATTGTTACGAGTAAATTGTTTAGCTGTATTCTAAAACATTTCAATGAAATTAAGTTCACAATGAAATTTTGGATAAAAAATAACTTTGTATTCACAATTCTCAATAACCTCTCTAATAAGCCCAATAAAAAATTTGATATAAAAATTAAGTTTTATAACGTATAACTTTTATGGAAAATCAGTATAATATATATGTTTTTTCCTTAGGTAAAAACCTTAAA